TGCTGAGGAATGTCTATCCTCACATCTGGGGGGGAGCAGGGTTGTGGTGGCATGTATTGACACATGACCTACATCTGTCTGGTATCAGAACCAATCAATCTCATTCAGTCTGATTGCTTGGTAGAGTGCACACCTCAAAAGTGAGTCTCAAGTTTATTTTTGTATTTCTCAATTAAGTGATTTTACCCCTGGATTTTTGACCTTTTCTCGAGTGAAATTCATTTGTGGACCCTCTAAAAGTGTTTCTTCATTTTTTTCTAATTTTGCCAGCTGACGACGAGTGAAAGAAGACGACGATCGTCGTAGAAAACGGGCGGCGCGGAACAGAGCAGCGTTGAAACTCTTGTCTGTGGGAATGGGCGGCGTCGCGGATTTTCGCCTCACGGGGGCGGCCATCTTTTTCATTCTGGTGAGTACTCTGGGTATGACAGTCTTTAGCAGTGTTGCCAGGTGGGGTAAAGTAGGGTACCTGCAGTTATAACAAATAGGGGTACAACAATTTGGCATAATAGTATGGCAGTGTTGCCACATGGCGGTACAACAGTGTAGCCATATGTTGGTACAAAGTGTTGCCATATTTTGTTGGTATTTCAATTCCCTTCTTGTTTTGTCTTCTGCAGATCTTGTCCAAGTACCACATGGTGTTTGGTTCTGACTGTGCTGAAGTGGGGGGCGAATTGGCATGCGACGATATGTGCGAAGCCCATGCTGCTCCTCGCTTCGGTTATGAGGTGGATTTCCTTGGTACTCGGTTGGACCTGGACTGCGTCTCTCATTTTCATCTCAAAGTAAATACTTAAAAATGCTAAACATAAAATTAGTACTATATACATTCATGTTTTCCCTTTCCAGAAAGTTTTCATTCTGGGGCCTACCTTTTGCAGAGGTTCTGTGGAAGGCATGGATAGGATAGTTCAGCCCTGGAAAAACTGCTTTTTCTCCTTCAGGAGTGAGTATTTCTGAACTGAGGCAAAACTGAGGCTTTTATGCTTTTCTGTTCTTGTTGTTTTTAGAAAACGAGATAGAAACCAATCATCAAACCACGAAGCAGATTAAAGAAGTGGTTAAGTCCTCTTCAGTGATTCCCAAAGAGCCAGGTTTTCTGGAGGAACATTGTCAGTTGTTGGAGAAGCTTTTCGAGGAGAGGCTAATTTTGACGGAGAAATCCCGTACGGTTTCTTCTACTTCTCCCAGCAGTTCTGCTGACCCAGGTGGTTCCAAGGGGTCTGGTTTTTCTGCTAGTGCTTGGGTTCCGGTAGTAGAGGGCAAGGTTGTAGACCTGTCCAAACCAAAGAAAGAGACTGCTACCGATCTTGGGGAAACTAACCTGAGCACCATTATTAATACTTTGGCCAACGCTACCAGATTGAACATTACCACTATTGATAAAGACGGGAATATAGTTCACGCTGAGTTCCCGGTGGCAGTGGTTAAAATAATTGCCTATGTCTCTGGTGGCGTAGGCACTCTTGTGGCATCGGTTTTGGGTTTGATTTGCTGTCGCCGTTACAAGCTAAAGGTGTGTTGTTATTTTTTGGTTCTATTGGGCTCAGTGGCACACACATAACAGATTTTCCTTTTTTGTTGCTTGCATGGCTTTTTGGGTTGCTTCTAATTAGAGGGGTGAAGTAATTGTAACTCCAAGGCGTTTTAAAGAGGTCAGTGAATCTTCTGAGAATACTGCCATTACAAACCTTTCCTTTGGGGAGGCCCTTGAAATGTCAGAGATGAACAGAAGATTTGCTACAATTAGAACAGCCAGAAGGCGTAAGTTGTTTTTGCATACTGCTTTTGCGCCTTTCCTGTGTATTCTACAGTTCTGTTACAGATACACAGGATGGAACAGGGCACACTCGAAGTTTTACTACGTTTGGTGTGGCCCCTAGTACGGGTGTGGATCCGGATGAGAGCTCGTTTTGATTGATCGGACTTGGAATCCGGATTTGATGGCCATTTTGGAACGGACAGTATTAGGCCAGAGTCGGACGTTGGGGAGATCGGGAGTGTAGATAGTTTCAAAACAGCAAAGGAGTGATCCCCGTTGTTTTTGTTTCGTCGCAGTTAGGCTTCTGCTGTTCAGTTAGGGATCTGCAATAAAAAGCTTTAAGAGGGCTTTTGGGTTTTTACTGTTTTGGTTGCTTCTGCCTTTCAGGAACTAAGTTGTTGGTCTATTTGATTGCCATCACTCCCGAGGCACTTAGCTGTAGACGTGGGTACTGCGGTGCTGATGGTGCACTCCGACTTGGTACGAGCTCGATAGTCGCCCCTTCTCTGTAATCCATATTGCGGTGGCGCCTTCTGCAAACGACATATCTGATTTTTGCGAAACAGAGGTAAAAGATGCTAATTAATATGATTGACAGCAACACAATAGAAACAATTAGATAAATATATCCATGGTCCCTAAAATGTAGCTGCAATTTGCTGATGTCCTCTGCAACAGTACTTCTGGGCGTAGCTGCAGGTATCTCATCCACCGCATTGATTTCCATGTTTTCCAACTTAGGGATTACGCCCTTGAATGGTCCATTCACAACAGTGTATCTACATGCAGGCTTGAACCTTAAGATTCCGGAATAAGGTAATTCATATGTATTTTCAGAGGCAGGTACTTTGTTATCTTCAGAGGCAGCACAATATTGAGTGATCCTTCCCTTGTCAATATCCACGTAAGCGAACTCATCTCGATCAAGCTGAACTACTTTGTTTTCTGGTTCTTTAACTTTCTTTAAATGACAAGTAGCTTTAATGTCCGCTTCGTTACTGCCCTTTTGAATACTTTGTATACACATATCCGCACTTCTAGTTGGTGTGTGTTGAAATCTGCAGATTCGGCATCCAGAATAACCCAAAGGTCTGAGACAAGTAGGGATCTTGTAAGCGTTGATTCCAAACAAATTACCGTTTTGCCTTAGTAAGTGGGAATGACGCAGGGAAACTTGCTGCCATTTTGGGGCACACATGTACGTGTCCTCAGCTATGGGAAGGGTGTGAATTCTAAATAGCTCATAAACCTCGGACTTTCTGATGACCGGTACTATACTCAATACTTTTAGGATACAGGTACCATTGTCTTTAGTAAGGGTTTTGCAGTGAAAAGTTCCCATGGTTACCGGGTTTGATCTTATAATATCAAACAATTCTGTCGCTGTTGGTCCATTTATTGGTGGCCGATGCTCGGTTGTGATTATTTCTTCTAGCACGGTGTGAACTTGGCTATTGTCAAAGAAATGTCTAGGGAAATTAAATCGTTGGATCTCTTCCAGATCTTGCATGAGAAATAAAGCTAGGTCCGTGAGTTGGGAAACTTCAGAACTCAAGACTAGAATCTCAGTCCATATTTTTGTTGCTGCTAAAGGTATGATTATGTCAGCTTGAATGTCTTGAATCAGACTGTCTAAAATAGATTCATGCTTTAATTTTTCAAATGCAAATAGGGTAGAGGTTGAAAGAAAAGCTCTTTTCTCTTTGACTTGGATTTTGTCTATTTTAGCTATACTTCTTTCTA